TGCTTGATTGGCTAGGGACTACAACTGAGAACTCACTCAGCTGACTTAACCAGCTCTAATAACGATATTCTGAAGCAGGATGGTATAATGGAAAAAGCACTGAACTGGAGTCAGCAGAGACTTGAGTTCAAATTCCACTTCCCGTACACTTCCTTGATTGTGTCAGCTGGACAAATCACTTAACACCTCTTAGCCTCGGTTTCTTCATCTTCTTCTTTAAAATGGGAATAATAATACTGATCTCACAAAGTTGTTTTGAGAATCATTTGAGAATGTCTGAAAGCCTTAAAGCACTATATAAATGTCAGCCATCATTATGACAGCACAAGTGAGGAATGAATCATTATCAAATGAGAATAGGTCCAAGCACCGCGTTTGAAAAGACCAGTGGGGTGTTGTCATAGCCTCCAGAAAAACAAACGCTCAGATGCTCAGCAGTGTGGTGAAGCTAGCAGCTAGTAAGATGTGTGATGACCCTCCCTAAATCCTGACAGATCCAGAGGTGACTACATCTCCAGAGATGTCCAGGCCAGCTGGACGGTCAGGCAGCAATCCTTTAGCTAAGGACTGTGCAAGGGATATAACCCATCTTTTTGGTACTGACTCAAAAGCCACATGATATGCAGATAGAGATTGATATAGATAAAAAGATCTTTTTTTGAGCACCTAATTCATCTTTTCGGTACTCAAAGATGAAGCTACTCATCATGTTTGATATCAGAACCCTAAATAAGAGTTAACAGAGGTACGGTTGCATTCTTTGAAAAAGTATAGCTTAGGGGCAGCTAGGTGGCGCAGTGGATAGAGCACTGGCCCTGAAGTCAGGAGTACCTGAGTTCAAATCCGGCCTCAGACCAAACACTTGACACTTACTAGTTGTGTGACCGTTTGCAAGTCACTTAACCCCAATTGCCTTAAAAAAAAAAAAAGAGTATAGCTTACTGAGGCAGCTAGGTGGCGCAGTGAATAAAGCTCTAGCCTTGGAGTCAGGAGGACCTGAGTTCAAATGCAGCCTCAGACACTTAACACTTACTAGCTGTGTGACCCTGGGCAAGGCACTTAACCCCAATTGTCTCATCAAAGAAAAAAAAAAGTATAGCTTACTTGGCTCTTCTCAGCAATACAAGGATCTAAGACAACTCGAAAAGACTCATGATGGAAAATGCTATCCATATCCAGAGAAAGAATCATGAAGTCTGAATGTAGATGGAAGCACACTATTTGCTCTCCTTTTCTTTTGTTGTTTTGTTTTGTATCTTCTTTGTCATGGTTCCTCCCATTAGTTCTAATTGTTCTTTACATCATAACTAATGTGAAAATATGCTTAATATGAATGTATAAGTAGAGCCTATATTAGATTGCATGCCATCTTGGGGAGGGAGGAGGAGAGGGAGGGAGAGAAAATTTAAAACTCAAAATCTTATGGAAGTGAATGTTTAAAACTAAAAATAAATTGATTATTTAAAAAAAAAACAGAACCCTGAGGTTTCACCTCACACCCTGCAAATTGGAAAAAATAATGACAAAAAATGGCAACAGTCATTGTTGGAGGGGTTGTGGAAAGATAGATATACTAATACATTGTTGGTGGAGTTGTGAAATAGTACAACTCTTTTGGAAAGTAATTGAATTATGCAAGTAAAGTTACTAAAATGTTCATAAAAGAAAAAAACATCTTTTTACCTCCATTGCTTAGTAAAATGGTTGAACATTTTTGAGCCTTAACAACCATTTGTTGAATTTAACTAAATAAGTACTAGGAGCCATTAGAAATGAAAAAAAAATTGTAGAGCTTCTCAAGAAAAAACAGTGTAGAATCCTTTACCCTCCCCCAAACTATATCACTCAGAGTGGCCATTCAGTGTCACTTGGTTAAGCCTTCCAAAGGTGAGAATACTTCATAAGAAGCTTCATTTAACCTGGCTAAAATCTTTCATGGAGTGGCTTAAATACATTTTCTCTCGATCAGCCTTTGGAGCCAGAGGAGAGAAGGCCACTGTCACCTATCTTGATCAGTGATCTCCAAAAGCGTGGGCTGCAGCCTTCCTGAGAGCTACTGACGGAACACAAGGCATGTGTGATCAACTAGAGGTTAGCAATATAGGTCATTTCCTACCCTCCCTATTTTTGTTTTTAACATAACCATCCCTACCCTTATCCCCTGTCGGTTTCTTCCTTCTGCTGGGTAAGCTCCTCACCTCCCCACCTGGGGACAGGCAGTAGTTCTTCAGGGCAGTTATAAGCTGGCCAAGTCTTGAGCCCCCACTGCATCAGATGAACAAGCGCCCTTAGGGACCAACCTCCTCCCTTAACCTTCCCCCAGGCTATCCCCCAAATCACCTGATGGGTGTGAGAGGCACCCCTGGGAGGTAAGGATCTGTGCCCAGTGGCAGCAACCAGTATGAAAGTGCCCCCATCCCGTCCCTTTTCATTTCAGATGGAAGAGAGTGAGTCTCACAGAATGAGCAGACATGGCTTGTGATCTGCGTTGCTCATTTCATTGCATCATCTTCCTCCAAAAATCCACCCCTCTTCTAGACTTTTGTATTTCTGTTGTGAAGGCCATCATTCTTTCAGTCTTCCAAGGTTCACAACTTTGGTGTCACCTTCAACTCCTCACTCTTCCTCCCTCACTCCACACATTCAATCAATGGCCAAACCTTGTCATTTCTGCCTCTCCATCAGCTCTTGCACTGACCCTTCTCCTATCACCTTTTGTCTAGACTATTATAATAGCATCCTAATTGTGGCCTTCCTGTCTCAAGTCTCTCCCCTATTCAATCTGTCCTCCACATAGCTGCCAAAGCGAAAAGGCACAGATCTGAAACTATTTGTTGTTCAGTCATTTCAGTTGTGTCCAACTCTTCATGACCCCATTTGGGGTTTTCTTGGCAAACACACTGGAGTGGTTTGCCATTTCTTTCTCCAGCTCATTTTACAGATGAAGAAACTGAGGCCAACAGGGTGAAGTGACTTGCCCAGGGTCACACAGCTAGTAAGTGTCTGAGGCTCAATTTGAACCTGAGGAAGATGAGTCTTCCTGACTCCCATCCTGGCCCTCCATGCACTGCACCACCTACCTGCCCTAGACCTGACTATGTCACTCCCTTAACTCAAACCCAATAGCGTTCTACTGACTATAAGAATTTCATTTCATTTATATCTCATCTTTTCAGAATTTCTATTTTTGTGTAAATTCAAGTGAACATAATTATTGTAGTACAGCAATATATGCATTTAGTTTGTGTATGTCATTAAATAATTTTCCTGATAGGGATCTATGATCAAAGAAGTTTGGAGACTAGTGATCTAGATGGTAATTTCTTTCATACTTTAAGGGAATCATGAGGTTTTTGCTTGCAAAAAATATTCTAGTTCCTTAAACTTTTCCCCATAAATTTTCTTAACTAACCTTTTAATCACTCACATGACTCACTTCTGGACCTACTTTAAGTTCTCCACGTCCCATTAGTTTGGGAGCTCAGAACTACATTTACTGCACTATAGCAGCTCTTTATGACTAATTTACTTTGTTATCAATCCCCCTCCTGACCCGAGACCTTTTTCTGCCCTAATATTATATAGGTAATTATCCTCATCTTGGATTCATGCACTTGTTTTATCCTCTTAGAGTATCTCGAGGGTACTAGTCCTTACTGAACTTCATTCTATTTATTTCTAATCATTTCCCCATTTTACCAAGACTATTTGGATTCTAATCCTATTTTCCAATGTGCCAGCCACATGCTGCTGCCCCCTTTTCCCTGTCCGTGGGCCTCTGACTTCTTCCCCTGGCTTATTCTTCAAACTTAATAAGTATACTCAATCTCATTATACTGGCTGTTGGGGAGAAAATGTCAACAGCATTGATACTGTCACAAAATCTCCATGTAACATCATTTTGCATGTACTGAGCTCAAGTAGGCTCTGGCCTTTGGAAACAACTTTGAGCAAGATCCTTCGACCAATTGTTCTGGATGACATTTTCTCAGTTTACTCATGAGTGAGATGATTGAGATATAAACAGAATCCATCCTGCAGTCAAGATAAATTTAATTTATCAATTCTGCTCTGTTAACCAACTCTGTCATTACTCAGCACCCTGTCCACTTTGCTAATTAATTTTGGGATGATTTTTTCCAGGCTTGTCAAGCACGGAAGCTGAACTTGTAAGTGTATCATTTTCAGTGCCATCGTTTTTTACCTTCCCCTCCTCCCCCAACATAAGTACTAATACTGATGATGATGATGATGATGACACCTGGGTGAAACAGCAAAGAAAACTGGAACTGGGAGCCAAGAGCCTAGATTCTAGCCTTGACTCTGACATTAATGAGCTCTGTGAACTTAAGAAGGTCAATTCTCTGTTCTAGGCCTGCTATCTCAGCTGTAAATTAAAGGGCATTAGGGGCAGATAGGTGGTGCGGTGGATAGAGTGCCGGCCCTGAAGTCAGGAGGACCTGAGTTCAAATCTGGCCTCAGACCAAACACTTGACACTTACTAGCTGTGTGACCCTGGGCAAGTCACTTAACCCCAATTGCCTAAGGGGGGGGGGAAAGGAAGAGCATTAGATTTAAATTGTCTCTTAAGTCCTTTCAGTTTCAATTTTTTTTTTAATGATTCCACATCTTCATCATGCTTTACAGTTTACAAAGTGCCTCATCACATCCTCACAACAATCCTGGTCCCTTTTCAGACTCCTATCCACACAAAGGGACTCTGCCTTAATTTCTCTGGGCCTCAGTGTCTTCATCTATGAAATCAATTAAATAGACCAAACTAAATAATGTCTCAAATCCCTTCAAATTCTAACATTGTTCTTTGATTTTAAGTATTTACTGGTGACCCACTGAGCAAGACTTCATCTTAAATGGTTAACTGAAAAGATATTTGGGTGAACTCCAAAGTTCAGTGTAAAACAGGGATGATCCCTGCAGAAGGAACTGCCAGGATTACACGCCCTTTGCTAAGAAGACGCAGCGAACTCCTTACTGTTCCCTGTGACTGGGAGTAGGGGAAGGAGGTTGTCAAAGATGATTGGTGATTGAATCAGGAGTGGCCCACTCGGTGAGGTATAGGAGAAGCTGAGGAGAAAGAGGCCGGCTCTTTTGTTATACTTCACAGAGCTTTTTGGACCTTGAACTTTCAGCAATGGCAGGCTGGGCATTTCTCTATCCTCCCTTGGACTCAACATCAGGGCAGGCAGATACGAGCACAGAGGAGCAAGAACATGTGCTGGCCTAGACGAGTCTGAGTCCTCGGTCACCTTTGCACTTCCTTGCGCTCTTCTCTGAGTCCAAGCTAGCCAGAGAGTAAGTATAATGTGTGTGAATTCCTGCTTTACATTTCTGGGTTTGTTTGTGAATGCTTCTAAGGCATTTGTGTTTAAGCATTTTCAGTGGTGGAGGAAATAAATCGTGATCCTAGACCTGATAATTCTACCCCACTGTAGAATTGTAAATTGTACATTGGATACTTTTTCTAGAAGGGACTCTACTGCCTTCTGTTTCAAATAAGCCAAATTTCAACTTTGCTTTTAGATCTATGTCTCCAATATGTACAGTGCAAGAGGAAATATAAATGAGGACTCCATTTAATCTAGGTCAGGAAAGCCTTCCATGATCTCCTTAAAAGGCATTTTTAAACATCCATTTTTAAATGGCATAGTATCAAGTATGTCATCGAAAGACAGTCCCCAATAAAGATCAGTATAGAGATAGCTACGGCATAGAGGAAGAAACCCTCAGAAGGCAGAAGAGTTAGCTTCTACTCGCCCTACGAACTATGAAGTTTTGGGGAGTCACGTTCATAGCCCTAAACGTCTCACTCGTACAATGGCAATGACGATAATACCTGCTCCATCTGAAAGCAAGGCACTAAGTCTGTCGTACTTTGACACGTAAATCCACTGACAACTGAAGCACATATTGAGCAGTCACGGTCCGAGGACTCTTTATGAAAACAGTACTCACCAGCACAGCCATGTATCGAAGCACCTTGTGTTCATCTGTCAACATCTTGATAACATCTTTCTTGAGGGTCTTTGGAATCAGGGCAAAGCAATTCTGAGCAGAATCTTCAACAAATCCAAAACCGTCATAGGGAGGTAATTCCTGGAGAAAAGTGGGAGGTGACAACAGCTAAGTGTGACTTAACAAAACAGTAATACTAGCTTCCAGCAGAATGTGAGCTCCTTCACAAGGATCATGTTTTTGCCTTTCTTTATATCCTCAGTGCTTAGCATGGTGCCTGGCACATTGTTGTTCAGTCATTTTTCAGTCATGTCCAACTCTTTGTGACTCCATTTGGGATTTTCTTGGCAGAGATACTGAAGCGATTTGCCATTTCCTTCTCCAGATCACTTTACAGATGAGGAAACTGAGGCAAACAGGATGAAGTGACTTGCCCAGGGTCACACAGCTAGTAAATATCTGAGGCCAGATTTGAACTCAGAAAGATGAGTCTTCCTGACTCCAGGCCCAGCACTCTAGCTATCCACTGCACCACTCAGCTGACCTGCCTGGCATACAGTAAGCACTTAATAAATGCTTGTTGAACGACTAACTTCCATTAAAATCCTCTTCGGACACCCCATCATGGTGTGAAGGTGACCCTGTGATCTCTGAGACTATGCCAATAGATCTCAATCTCCGGCAGCCCCAACCAACTTGGAAGAATTTCACGTATGGGTCTAGTGACCACGTCTGTCCTCTGAGGACCAGTCTAGGTTTGGAGAGGCTCATTACTAGCTTGGCTATCTGAAGTACTATAAATATTATCAATGACACTGAAAAGCTCCAGAAAAAAAAAAACAATTTATAGATAACTCCTACATTTCTACATGTGGTCGGAAAGGGTAACATGCTTCGTAAGCATTTCTATAGTACTGTGCAACATTTTATAGTAGAAAGAACGCTTGATTTAGGAGTCAGGAGATCTGAGTTCAAGGTTAATCTCTACAACTTTCTGCTGCAACCTGGGGCAAATCACTCAGCCCTCTCTGAGCCTCCAAAAGAATCAAGAGAATAATGTCGGCTCTACTTCCTTCAGTTAACATTTTTGTAAATTATAAAAGACTATCTAAATGTAACCTGGGCTTCCAAGTCTGGGGCACTTTGCATGCTGCTGTGTGTGCAGAAGGGGAGTGTTTGTGGGTGGAAAGAATGCCATGTGATGCATTAGAACGTAAGCTCCTGGACAGCAGGGATTGTCTCCTGCCTCCTTTTGTATCTCTAGTGTTTAGTACAGCATCCGGCACATGGTGTTTACTGATTGTCAACTGACTGACTGATGCTATGTGCCTACACGAATGGCAGAATTCGTGAGAGCTTTTGGGAGGAGAGACACATGTAGTTCCAGACGATATATTACCTCTGCCAATTAGGAGCCTCCTCTTGCATACACATTGGTATACCAAATGCCCCAAGCTTTGAAGCACAGATTGCATAGAAATAAAGAATAATTATTTCTTTTTAGTTATTAACTCATCACTGTAAGGAAAGGTATGGGCTGTATTTCAAGGTTTTCCAGGTTAGAGATGTAATTTATATTATTCATTATGACAAAATTTTACTAAGGCAAAAATTGTATGGACTTCATTATAATGAAGTTTAACATATATATGTGTATAGATACACATACATATGTGTATGTATGTAATAGATGGACAGCCCGACTTACCTTGCTACATGACCTCATTGCTCCCACTTCATCACTACCCATTTTTGCTTCTCATTTTCTTATAATTTGGCTTGTGATCCCACCACTTTAGTTTTAAGGTTATCAACTCTCCAAAGCTAAAGCCAATATTCTTTTCTCATTTCTCCAACCTCCCTTGTTTCTGTGAAACTTTAATAAGGTCAGCCATTCCTCTTAAGCATTCTCTACTCCCCTGACTTATTAATTAAATGAATAAAAAATTAAATGAATTAAAAACCACTTAATCTTGCATTTAAGGCCTCCCACAATCTCACTCCCTCTCAGCTTTCTATGTCCAGGCTTATTTTATACTATTCCCTTCCAGAAACTCTATTTTCCAGAAAAATGAGATACTTAATACTCAGTCTCCCACCATCCCCCATGCCTAGATTGTATTTCATTTCTGCCTCTCAGAATCTTTGTGTTTCTCCACGTTTCAACTCCTCCATGAAGCCTTCCTTGCTCTGCCCAGCTGTTAGGGCTTTCTCTTCAATTTTCCTTTTATCGTTATCTATTTGTGTAGAATGTAAACTCCTTGAGGGTGAGAAGGTTGTTTTTTTTTAAAAAAAATCTGTCTCTGTAGTCTCAGAGCCCAGCCCAGGGCTTTGCATGTAGTAGACTAATGGTGAGTTATTGAGTGCTTTACTAGTACCCACGAATGTTAAGATGTTAATAGACTCAGAGGAAGCCATGGAGATTTATTAACATTCAAAAGAGATTGGCCAAAAAATTCACATGGGGAAAAAATGAATTAAGACTGTTTGCTGTCCAATCTATGACACGGAGTTGGATGGGAAGACTGCTGAGTTAGTCCATTAACACATACAGCATAGAGGCACTGCAGATGGACAATGAGCTAGGCACAAAACTAAATAGGAAAGAGAGAGTAGGTGAGATTGTTTGGGGTAATTATAGAGGGCTTTCAATAATCCCAAGCTGCTCCCCAACCAAGAAAAAATCTTTTTAACACCCATATTCTTCTGTTGATCCATATGGTTACAAATCATAGCACACCAATTTCCAAAGAATAAAAATTACTTATGACCCAAAAAGCAACAGGGAGGCATATGGTAGGCATAAGCAAGATGAAACATATTGCCAATTATGACTTGAGCATGAGAAATGGTGTAAACGATATCATGCAGGAAATCTATGTGATTCATTACACATTTTTAAGTGCCTGCATATGCAAGGCATAGTGCCAGGCTCCAGTGATCTAAAGACAAAAAATGAAATAATAACTGCTCTCAAAGAATGTCCGTTCTATGAATTGAAAAGATGGGCCGGTCACGTAGCAAGAACCAGGTATAACAGCTGTAAAGCCCAAGCAGTGCACTGATAGCCAAGGGCAGAAGAACAGAAGGAAGTCACCAAAAGAAACTTGGAAAGAATAAGCTTCCACTGCAATTAGATCTCTCCCAAAGTGACCTGGGAGGTGATGGAGTCCTCCACTCTGTTTTACTAGATGTCTTCAAGCAAAGACTGAATGACAATGATTTGTTGAGTGTGCTCTGGGGATCACTGTTTTTTGGGTATAGTTTGGAGCGTGTGCCAACTAGGATCCCTTTCAACTCAGAAATTCTATGTTCTTCCAACAACCTGGGCAGATAATCTATGAAGGATCTGTGTGGTGCTATGGAAAGAGTGCTGCATTTGGAGTCTGGGAACCTGGGTTTAAATCTGATTAAAAAACAACTTGTTTTTCCATATTTGACTACTTTGATGCAGTGTTTGAATGTGAGTTCTGAAGTAGAAGTCGCTTTCAATTAATTATTATTAATCCTTCTAAGTAGACTTCACACACACATTAAATCTCATCATGATTAACTCCATAGTCTACCCACTTTTTGCTAACACAGAATTTTGTTATACTGTATACTTTCCTAGAATTTGCACTTGAAAAGTGTAAAAGCTAGAAAACACAACTGAAATGCTTCCTTCCTCTAGTGAATTAACCAATGAAAAGAATTACTCTGAATCCAGTAAGGGGGAGAGCAGAGGTGAAGGGAGATTTAATCTAAGGGTTTCACACCCCCCTTCCTCCACTCAGCTCTTGAATATTTTTTTTTTCTGTGCTATGTTGTTCTGGTGAGGTGAGTTCTCCTAAAGGGAATGATCAGAATATGTCAGGAACTACCTTGCAACCCTCACTGTACATTTCCAAGCCGGTCTAATTCAGGGATTGGAAAATTCTGAACTAGGAGGGCAGACAAAGTTGGGGTGACAAAATTGTTAAATTATCAAGGTATACTTGATCCTGGCGCTCTGTTTTCCCCGGCAGGAAACAAAATGTGTTTGTATAAGATTATTTATCATGGAGAATTTACCATAACAAGACTGACAAAGAATTTAGAATGAGGACCATGAGAAAGGCCTGAGGAGAAAAAAAAATAACTGGAAAAGTTCTTCCTCATCCCCCTTTCCTACTCACTTCCCACACCTAGAAAATGAGTAAGAAGGGGAGAGGGAAGTGGGAAAGTAGGAGGAAGACAGGACAAGCTCTGAAAAGGGTTGTAGAATTGGAAAATTTTCATTTGCTCAGAGGAACACTGCTCTCAATCTTTTTCCATTCTTCCTCAAATGCTAGTCATACAGACATTTTCATTGGAATAAT